AATAGAAAATGAAGAAGCTAAAGTACTCTGGGACTTTAGAATTCAAACAGACAAGCATCTGCCACATAATACCCCAGACTTAACAACTGTTGATAAGAAAGTCAAAAAAAAGTCTGGATAGTGGACATTACAATACCTGGAGAGAGCAGAATAGAAGAGAAAGAACTGAAGAAAACCACAACATATGAAGACTTATTTAAATAGAAGTACAACAACTGTGGCAAAAGAAAGCAAAGATAGTACCAATAGTAATAGGCGCCTTGGGTGCAATCCCAGAGAATGTGGTACACTGTATAGTAACTATGATGTTTAACCACTTGAACAACATTAAGCAGCCAAACTAAGCTGAAAACAGAGAACATAAAATCAAAATGGCTTTCATAGTATACCATTTTGATATAAACTAGAGTTTATTCAATCTGAGCTACCAACAGGCTATTAATAAAGTCTTTGAAAATCATGTTGAATATCAGTTCTAATTAGGTTTCAATCTCATTCACCAGACTTCAAATAAACACTTGACGTTCTGAATTAATTGTGTATCTTACCTTCAAAGGGGCTCAAAGGCACTGACAATCAACATAATGGTAAACTGAAAATTGCATCATTTAATACTACCATATCCCCAAAGTCAAATATAAGAACAATTCTATTATATTTATATCCCACCTTTTCCCTTGGGAGCTTAAAACAACATATACAACCCTACATCAGATTTACATCACAACTCTCTGAAACAGGTTACACTGAAATTTCATGACTGGTCCAACATCCCACATGTTTTAAAAATATGGATTTTTCCCCCTCTTGAATATGTGATAAACATTTTATACATCAGAGGTCATCTTAGCCAGATTAGAATTTATCTCATGCTTTTGAAATATCACAAGTATACCCTAGCTTTTATATGAATATGATTTGGCTTATGTATTATGAACTCCTACAGAGACTGAATGAGTTTGGGACCAGTTTTAAACCATAAACCTATGCATGTTTACTCAGAAGTCAACATTACTTCACTCAGTGAGATTTGTTATTTATCACTTTTGCAGCCTTAACTATTATGTCTTATAATCTTTTATATACTTCAATTATTATTGTTGCTGTTGTTAATTTTAATTTATTGGCTGCCTAAGTCCAGTGGACTATCACTTAGAGGTGATAGATCTTTAATGGTCACAATAATTATTTGCTACCATGGTTTTACAATTACAAAATGGTTGCACGTGGTTTATTCTTTCACTTTTCATCACAATATTTATAAATATTTTTGCCCTACAATGTAACACTATGACCTTATAGAAGCTATACTTCCCTAGAAAAACTTTATTATGGGGACAGTTTCAGTGGCAAATTTGCAGACAACAGCAGTAAGCAATTTAGTTAGGCACAATATATCTCTCTTGAACATTTTTAAAAGGACAGGCCATCATGGAATTATTATTACAAGAACTGGTTATACAACCAAGGCTTTGGGAAAGGTATACACAAACAAATCCAAAATATCCCAAAACTGCTACAGAGAGCTTATAAAGTATGGTCATAATGGAATTATTATTTCAAGAGCAATCAAATTATACAATTATTCTGAGAAAACAAAAATAAGCAAATGTAAAGACACAAGATATGGACTGTTAGTGTGAAAAAATATTTTATAATTTCATTACACTCTACCACTGATGACTGCTTAGAACTTCTACAGATAGAGAATTATATAGTCCATTTTCTAACTGTGTAAGAGGACAATACACTGAATTAGCACGTCCACCACTTTCCTTTCTGGCTTCTAATTTCAATTCAAAAAGCACTAGTTTTCTGTAGAAAGTCTGCTTTCATCTCATATACCATGATGCCCTATAAAAGTAATCAAAGTGGTACTCTGGGTAGGACTGTAAAGGCATTTTGAGAGACACTTTCAGAATCTATCCTAAAACTATTGGACAGGATTTACACATTATTTTCTGCTGACAGGACTGTTTCTTTCAATGGAATCAAATATTGCAAGTTCCCCTTTCCCTGCTGCAGCCTTCAAAATATTTTCAAGTAATGCTTTGAAGAGTCTTCTGCAATTTCAGAGCAAATCTTGAAGGGGAAAAAAGCAGATAAAGTCCACTGCATGTGATGTTTTTGAGCAAAGAACTTAACAGAAGAAAAGTAAAACCTACAGTTCTAAGTTAAAAAGCAAAATCAGAAAAGTTCTCTGGAAACATATCTCTAAGATGACTGATGAAACAAACAAGTTTCATGGTTTATCTGGAACAAAAATGAAAAAAAGAAAATATTATTCTGTAAAAAAATGGAAACTAGGCCTGCAGCTACAGAGGCACTGCTACCAGAAGAAGTTATTCATTTTACTGGAATATGCGAAATCTAAGCAGGGACTGATTTGGTAAAGATGGCTAGAGAGTTGATACAAAAACAGAGGATGATTTTAATGGAAGTTGGTTCAAAATTGTAGCTTTACAAGTTAACCCAGTGTCTTGAATTAGCCCCAGAAGTCAGTCTAGCTCAAGAATGACAGCCAAGGTGGGAAACTCGCATCCACATTATAATCACTCCATCAATTGCCAAACTATTTAATGCCCTTAAAGCATAAATATTTCTCACCAGCATTATCTTTTTAAGTCTAGATTTAATACATTTATTTAACTTTATCCTTCCAAAACCTGTTCTCATTTGAAAACAAAAAAGGGAGCTCCTAAACATACAGGACTGGGCATCCTCAGTGTAGCAATGATACCCAAATTCAAAGCTGTAGAGGAAATTACAGAATAAAGTATACAGCGAGAGCATTGTAAAACATCTCAGCTCCCAAGAGGCTAAATTTATGCTCTGGCTGAAAGAAATGAAGGCACCAAAAAGCAAGCCTAAACATCCTAACTGTGCCAGAGAATAACGCATCAAGAGGTGCAAGCAATATCAATGCTGAAAACAGCCACCCCCCCCCCAAATTAATCAGGGATTGTGCTTCCCAAATTTATCTCCAGGTGCAAGTCCTTAGAGCTTCCAAGCATGTATATAGACTGACTTTTAAAAAACTGAAAGGATGCATTATCTAATAGCAACTGGAGGTGCTCTTCTGCTTGCTTTTCACTGGGAAAGCCTAAAACTGGCTAGATCTTTATTTGGAGATACTACTTTAAAACACATAGAAAATATGATTCATTTTCTTATAGTTTCACTAATAATTTAGACCTATCAGTGTAGGCTTCTAAGCCATACATAGAGAAATAAAAAAATCATTCTTTTAGTAAGACTTAAATGTATGTTGATAAAACAAGGATAAGTCCATGCAATGCATTCTATGACCTGGGTAAATAACATGTATACAACTCTGTACCACTGAAATAATCTAGAAACGTAATTTATACCAGTTTTATTCAAAATGATAGAATAATGCCCAGAAATATCTGAGGCATAACAGACCAAAGTTGGGAAGTATTTTTTTCTTTATTCAAGATGTCTTCTTCTGTGGCCAAGAAATATGTGCAATAAGGGCATCATCCAGCAACAAACATCTTTTGAATGATCTCTTTTCTTGTTAGACAAATAATTTTTGATTTACAGTTGGTTAGCACTGCAAGCTTAGAAGAACAGACTTGCAGAGTACTGATAACCAAGTTGTCGTAATTTGGAAATTAATTATAAAGCACCTTAACCAGAGGACTCCTGAATACATTTTACTGCAGTTACTGGGTAACTTTACATCTGAGGTAAATTCTAGTGCCATTTAACAGCGTAAAGCATAACTGCACAGTGAATTTATAAGACAGCTTTCAAATATTGCAACTACAATTCAGGCTGAGAGATAAGCGAATTAACATATATCTAGGGCAGCAACGTTATCATGCTCATCCTCTCACTTGCCATTGCACAGCATCTTTAAATGAACAAGAGCTTCTCACTTCAGTTCCCTAATAGCCTGTTCCTCTCTGCCATGCAGTCTTCTCATTTGCCATGCAGTCTTCTCACCCATCAGCCATGAAACGTCACTGCCCTTCTGCACATTATTTCTCACTGTATCTCCTCTCAGCACAGCACTAGAGCAATCCCTCCAATGGAAAATAACCCTCTAATTTTACCTTTTTTCTTTAGCATCTCCTGTGTGCACACATCATTTCATTTTTACTACCTACACCCAGCCTTAAAATTTCTTGCACTCCTACAGTGTTACTATATTTCAGAAGGTGTATGGAGTACAGAAAGGCTGAAGAGATGGTGAGGAATCCATGCTCCATTTTATACCATAGTCTATTCACTTTCTTTTTTAGGTACAGTTGTATTGCTCAAAATAACTAATCATGAACACTACCCCCTCCCCCCCAAAATCCCAGGCTGATATTATTGTAAAGTCTTACATTAAATAAAGACTGATTAGGAGGCAGAAAGATTTTAACACACACATGCCCAGGACACACAGTTGCTGAATAGGCATATGATAACTAATACAACCAATACTAATGTACAATGCGGAATGTGAAAAATCCTTACAGGAGAACGTATATTTCCCTTTCTCCTGTCACTACTGCCACTCTCCCCGTCATCTTCTTCACCTGGAAACCTTCCTTCAAAGAGTAGTACAGCATCCCACTCAAACGCAAGTCTCTCTTCCAGACCTTATAAAGCCAGGTTTTGATTATTCATAGTTTCCTGTTGGGTAAGCGGCATCTCCAGTCCATACAGCTTTCCCAAATGGTATTAATCTACCCGCACCCTCCTAACACACTCTCTCTCTCTCTCTCTCTCTCTCTCTCTAACGTGCTTCCCATCCTCAATATGATTTCCTCATCCTCCTCACCGGAGATACTGAGCGCAAAGCAAGCTCATCCTCCGCCGCCGCCGCCTCTCGCTGCCCGCCCGTCCACGCCGGCCCCGAGTCGGGGTCTACAGCTCGGGCCCTTCCGCAGCCTGGGAGCCGCAGCCGCTGCTGCTGCCGCCTCCGGCCGCCGCCATCTTCCCGTGTCGGGCCCAGACTCTTCCTGGAGGGGGAGGAGGCGGGAGGCGGGAGGAGGGAAAGAGGTAGCAGCGAGGGGAGGAGGAACGGTTCCGCTCTCCGCCTCCTGACTGGGGAAGGTAATTCTCGCGAGACTCGCTCGAACTGCCGCCTCCACGTTCAAGGCCGCTGTCGCCTCCCGCAACTCGCGCGGATCCAGCAGGCAGGTGCTCGGCTAGAAGCAGGCGAGCTTCCCTGTCAATGCCTCCTTTTCCTCCTTCCCTCACTTCCGGGCGCGGCCCAAGCTCAACAGGACCCACTTCCGTCTTAGTGCACAGCGAAACCTTTCCCTTCGCAGCTCGCGGCCCGCAAGACGGCCTTCTAATGCGACTTCCCATTGGTTGTGCTGCTGTCATAGCAACGGGGAGTGCGTGCGAGTGGAGGAGGGGATGAATAGTGGTATATGTTATCACCATGGTAACCGTCGCAACTACTCTAGCGTGCGCTCCTTCCCCAGCTCCCATCTGGAAAGTCACCAACTCCCTCCCTCTCTCTCTGAACACCCGCCTGGCAGTTTAACCTTTCCTTCTCTTAGCTTGCGCCAAGACATCTTCTGGAGATCTTCCTTTTGCCCCCCGCCCAGAAATAAGTGGAATTCATTTCAATGGGACAGCTCGAAGTCTGCCGTGAGGATCGCACCCGTCCAAAGGGTTAACGGCGCCGATCGGAAGAGCCGGTTTAGTTACGTTTGGTGAGATGCCTTCCTTTGAGCCAGCGGATTACTGATGACTTCTCTGACTCTGTTTCTGAAGTCACTTTCCAGCGTGGCAGCAAGAATTTTTATCTGCATGTGGCAGTTGATCCTTGGAGTGTTAGGAAGAACCGATGCAATACAAGTGGAACATTACATTGTCTAAACTTGGGGTACTTGGATGCCTGCCAAAATCCCTACCTATTTTTAAAGATATTCTGTAATAAAGGAAGTGGAAGGTGGTGTGCTGCAAAAGAAATTGCCAACCTTTAGCTTCACATTTAGTGCCAAGAATGCTTCTAGTCCTTTTGCAGTGCCATGGGTCTTTCCTGGAAAGTAAAATAGGAGAAACTTTTGTGCACACCTTACCCCCCCCCGCCCGCAAAAAAAAGATAGAAAAAGAGAGAAATAAATATACCCTGGGAGTAGTAGAAGATATCTTGGGGAGAATTATAAAAGTAGTGGGCATCCCAGCTGGCCAGCCTGCCTGCCTGCCTGCCTGCCTGCCTTGATTTATATAGCTGCCCAATTTGCAAGAGCAACTTCAAAGGAAAATTAGATTTATATCCCATTTAAAAAAAAAAGGAAGGTGGCATCCATCATGCTCCTGCTTATTTTCCCCACAACAACAACCCTGTGAAGCGGTTTGGGCGGAAAGAGAATGACTGGCCCAAAGTCACCCAGCTGGCTTCTGTGACTAAGGGAGAACTAGAATTAATGGTCTTCTACTGCAGCATTTTAACCACTATATCAAACTGGTGCTCTCTTTTTTTTAATGGGAAGATATTCAACCTTTATCACAAATATAAAAATATTTTTATATTAAAATATTTTAAAATTTTGTTTTTACATAAAACCAGAAGGCCAAAAACAAGACTGCAGCAAAGATGAAGAGCAAGATTTTTATCCACAAAGGAACAGATCAT